CAGAAACACTGAGATCCAGGCAGGGCAGGACCCCGAGATCCAGGGGGGACAGGACCACTCAGATCCAGGCAGGGCAGGGACACCCGTCATTGGATTTAGGTTCCCTCATGCAGGATGAGCTCACATTAACTTGATTACATCTGCAAAGATAAAATTCCCAGCAAGGTCCTGTTTCCAGGTGCCTGGACTCAGGACCTGAGTATATATTTTGGGGGGACAGCACTCAGCTGTTCAGGCTCAGATGCACAAATGAAGTCAGGCCGCTGGAAACAGTGCTGACCATAAACCCAGCTTGCGGGCAGAAACCTGCCGGATCGGAAAGCGTGCTCTCCAAGGTTGGAGGGACAGGGGGACATGTCCGGGGACCCCGGGCTCCCCCAGGATGCCCGCGATGGGCCACATCCTGCAGTCCGTCCCCGTACCCCAGGGACTCAGTCTCGTGTTTGCTCATTTCTCTGAGATTCGAGCCTTCAGTGAAATCGTTCCCCGGAACGTGGCTGTGGCTTCTCACACGGCAGGAGGACGTGTCCCACGTCACGGACGGGTGAGGTCACATGCCAGTCTGTCCTTCACACGCGCCTCGTGTCCCCAGGTTGTTTGCATCAGAGACCTTATTCCCGCGGATTCCGCACATCAAGGATAAATGGAGTGAGAACGTTCACACTGACCACCAGGTAGTTGGGGGGGGGGGCACCGAACCAGCACGGGGGGTGGGCAGTGAGCCTCCTTCCCCTCCCTTGGTCCCCAGGCTCGGTCCTGCCCCAGGACCTTTGCACGTGGTGGACCGTATGCCTGGAGGCCCCTGTCCCAAGCCGTCCCATCAGGCGGTCCTTTTATGCCTCAGTCACAGGGTGGCCCCGCCCACCGGGCCCCCGGTTCCTATCCACAGTCCTCGGCCACCCGAGCCCCGCTCGCTGGGTTCCCGAAAACCCGACACCCCCGTCCTCCCTGTGCTCCCCAGATCATCTGGGAGAAATCCACCCCGGATACAGGAAAGATCGACCATGAAGAGATCCTAACCGTGGAGGAAGTCACCATCGCCCCGGAGAGCGTGTGACCCACAAAGATGCTTCCAGCCCCGGAACGTTCTGGAAGCCGTTTTGTCTTTTCATTGTTTGAACACTTATTTATACGGCGCTCTATTTTTTTACTTTAAAACAACGTGGTCTTTTGCAAGGATGCCTGTAGTCGGAGTTGAATGCCATTGGGTCCCGACCCCATGACGCACCTTCCTTGACCCCCGGGGAGCAATGAGCCTTTCCCTCCCGTGGCTCAGGCGTCTGCCTGCCAGCAGCCGGTGGGGCTGGGACATGGCCTCTGACACACTTGTCCCGTGCGAACAGTGGCCTCCCCGTACAGGGACCATCTCAGGGTCCCGAGCGTAATCACCTGTAAGGGCCCGTTGGTCACAGAAGGTCACATGTTCACAGGCTTCGGGAATCGGGTCGTGGACGTCCCTGGGGACATTAGTCCACAACATGGGGGTCAGGACTTGGACACCCTTGTGTGCGGGCATGGGAGGGAGGGGAGGGGACTTCCCTCAAAGATCCTGGCCGCACCTCTGCATCGTGACTTCTGAGAGGGCAAATCCTATGACCTGCAGGCCGCCCTGCACACGTGAGGGTATGCGCCAGGAGAGCATCTAATGCGGGCCTTCGTGAGACAACAGGGCACATCCAGGACCGGAAGTGAACGTGGCCAGGAAGGATGTCAGCTGCACGTACCCGGGATGCCCGCAGAAGGTCTCCAAAGCCAGCAGGAGTGTCCCGTGGAAACCACGGCTTACCTCCGGGCTGGATTTGTTCACGAGGACAAAGCTAACGGGAGAGCAAGATATATGTGGAAAATGTATATACAGAGAGATACAGATACAGACACAGATACAGGTAGACCCATATCGAAATATATACCCTGAAGAGACAGGAAAATATATACGTGGATATGTATGCACAAAGAGATACATATTTGCAGAAATATGTGTGGATACGTATGCACGAAGAGATATCTATTTGCAGAAATATGTGTGGATACGTATGCAGGAAGAGATACATATTTGCAGAAATACCTGTGGATACGTATGCATGAAGGGATAGATGTTTGCAGAAATACATGTGGATATGTATGCACAAAGAGATACATGTTTGCAGAAATACGTGTGGATATGTATGCACAAAGAGATACACGTCTGCAGAAATACATGTGGATATGTATGCACAAAGAGATACACGTCTGCAGAAATACGTGTGGATACTTATGCACGAAAAGATACATGTTTGCAGAAACACATCCGCACATATATACAAAAAGATACACACGAAGACGATACACAGATGGTTATCCAGGAATTGGCTCATGCGATGTCGATGGCGGGGCTGCTGAGGGTGAAACCTGCAGGGCAGGTGGGCATGTAATAGGGGACACTCCAGACTTGAGGCAGAATTCCTTCTCTGGGAAACGTCAGGGTGTGCCCTTGAGGTCTTCGCCTGATTAGACGAGGCCCACCCCCCATGTGAACTAGCATCTCTTCTAGTCAGCTGCTTGTGGATTTTTTGTCCCACCTACAAAACAGCCCGAGTGATTGTTTGACTGAATAATGGGGACGGAGGGGGGTGCTGTTGCCCATCTATGTGATGCCCATCCACATGAAATGACCGTCATGGAACTATTTAAAGGGTGAACCCATCATGATGTGCTGTCCAGTGGGTCCCCTGTGCCAGTCCTAGGTGACCCCCGCCAGGGCAGTGGGCACACGCTCCCGACGGTAGTCCCCACCCCCAACCTGTGCCTTCCCACAGGCTCCTCTGGGCTCAGGCGTGCCGGCCCCGGGGGGAGGAGCTGGTGCAGACCTCCTAGTCCCGGCTCTTTGTTCCACAGCAGCTCCCAACACTCTTGGAGGAGTTCACGGCCGTGTCTCCGACTCACCCCACCTCACGGGTTCCCACAGGTGCTTCTCCATTCTGCCTCCCAAGCCTCCTTCTCCTCTGACCCTGAACATGTTTTAGAGTCACTTCCTGGATTTGTGAGCGGATGTGATATCAGTCATTATCCTGCTAGTATGAATTTGGACGCACGGGCCCAGACTCTGCATTTCATTCTCATCTGGAAGCGTGGACGGTGTTGTGGGGAATCTAAACTCAGAAGGAGGAGTCGCTGGCTGTGATTCTTTTATTCCCCAACCAGCTAAGAGTTCGGGCGACAGCCCTCTACCCCACCCCGTTATTCAATCAAACACCCACTGAGGGGTGTTTTGTAGGTGGGACCAAAAGTCCGCAAGCAGCTCACTTTAAGTAAAGAGAGGTGGTGTCACATGGGGGGTGGGCCTCGTCTAATCAGGTGACGACCTCAAGGGCACACCCTGAGGTTTCCCGGAGAAGAAAACCCTAAGACGAGTCCCAGAGGAATACTTTCATGCTCCACACCTTGCAAAGGCCGTAGGCTGTGGGGACCGGCCAGCCACAGGCTGGGGGTCAGAAGGACCAGAGTGGTGGCAGGGACCAGGCCCAGACCTTGGGGTTTTCCTTGGAGCTGTGGTTCTCACAGCCCCGTTGTTCTTACAGGTGGGGCCACACCACTTGTGGGGAGGAAGGCTCCCTCGTGCCTGTGCTCCTGAGATAATGGTCTGGGGCCCACCTCGGCCCCCAGGGTCTCCCATGGTCAAGAGCGTCAGGCGAAGGCAGCCGGGGGGCTGAGCGGCTGACGGGGGAGGGAACTGAGCCCATGGGGAGTTCACCCCCAGGACATGAGACCTGGGGGCACAGTGGCACTCCCGGGAGGCCGTGCAGGTGAGTGGGGGTCCTTTCTCTTGCACACGCACGGGGTGAGGGGCCAGGACAGCAGGACAAGTGCTGGCGGTGGGTAAGGGAACCGGGGACCCACTGGAAGGCGATCGGACTCTGGAAATGCAGGCAGGGCAGCCCAGGTGGGAGGGGGCGTTTGCATGAGGTTCCAAGGGGCTGACGACACAGCAGCAGAAACCACTGTGGGAGGCCTTGAAACTTCCCCTGTGCATCTTCCCCCACCCCCCACCCCAGCTCTGCAGACCAGAGTCTGAGATCCAGGCAGGGCTGCTGAGCTCCAAGAGGGGCAGAGCGGCTGAGACCCAGGCGGGGCAAGACCCTTGAGATCTAGGAGGGACAGGGCCGCTGAGATCCAGGCAGGGCTGTGCTCCCTCCAGAGGCTCCAGGGAAGGGTCCTTCCTGCCTCTTCCAGCTTCTGGGGCTCCAGGCATCCCTGGGCTTGTGGCCACGTCCCTCCCGTCTCTGCCTCGGTTTTAATGTGGCTTCTCTGTGTGTCTGTGTCTCTCCTCTTGTCAGGTCCCCCGTCACTGGATTTAAGGCCACCCTGATCCAGGATGGGCTCTGTTTACATCCCTCATCACATCTGCAAAGACCCTGTTTCCAATTCAGGTCCCCGTCCCGGGGAACCGGGAGCTAGAACAGGGACATATATTCTGGGGACACAAACTCCAGCCTTCTCGTGAGGACTCCCTCCCCGGTGGGTGAGTCCCCAAAGCCCCAGCCCGTCTCCAGCCACACGTGGACCCCCTTGCCATCCATGTCTTCGTATGAAGCCCACCTGGTTTTGGTGAAACTGTAATTATCACACTGTTTTCAGCGTTTTCATAGACGCCAAGGTGGGGAGACCAGAGGCCAGAGAAGCAGGGCGGGGGTGGGAGGGTGGGGACGAGTCCTGTCCCTTCGGATTCATCCGCTGGGACTTGAGACGAAGTATTTTCCAAGCTCGGACCTGCTGGTTTAACCGCCAGCCGGTGTGGACAGGGAAACGTTTGCCAGCCGGTGTGGACAGGGAAACGTTTGTCTGTGAGGCCATCATGGGCTGTGCGGGGGAGGGGTGCGCTATTTCCTGCCTTCGTCCGCACTGCATCCCAGCTTGGAACGTTCTGGCCCGTCTGCAGCCTTCAGTTAGAAACATTGTAGCCACGTCTACCTCTGACACTTGTAACTCGTCTCCGTCTCCGTGGAGTCAGCAGCAGGCGTGGAAGGTTCTAGGCTCCCGCACACGGCTGGCTGCTGGCCCGAGCCCCCACGTGCTGCGGGACCTGTAGGACCCCAGGGTCCCCCGCGATGCTTCTCTGGGACAGGACCCACCGTCACGCCCAAGACGGCCCGGCCGTCCCCACCCGCAGCCTCGGGGACCCGCCCTTCGCACAACGCCTGTTATATAACCCAGAATGAGCCACGCTGTCCCAGGCCCCCTCCCCGCACAGCCCCCAGCACTCCTCAACGTGGAGGCTGCTAACCGAAAGGGAAGGTCACCGTCTTGGCGAGCCCCGGGGCGTCCCAGAGCCGTCACCAAAGTGCCAGCAGCGGAGGTGGTTCCAGAGGCACACAGCTGCCTCCTAATTCAGCGTCTCCTGGGCGTTCACAAGCGCACAGGCAGGTGCATCACCCGAGGCCCCTCGCGAGCTCCGGCCAGGGTATGAGCTGTGGAAACCCCACTGCACGTTCGACCCACAACGATGATCTTTTCGAATTCTTTGATACGTGTCTAGGGGCGGAGGCAGATTCTTTTCATCAAAAAAAAATTTTTTTATGTTTATTTTTGAGAGAGAGAGACAGAGTGTGACGGGGGAGGGGCAGAGAGAGAGGGAGACATGGAATCCGTCAGCGCAGAGCCTGATGCAGGGGTTGAAGTCACCAACCGTGAGATGTCGACCTGAGCCGAAGTCGGACGCTTCACCGACTGACCATCCAAGCACCTCTAGAACGTAAACGAGACGCGGACAGGAAGCCAGGATTCTCTCCCTCACGATGGGATTCCCCTTCTGACGCGGGAATGGATCCTTCGCAAACACCCTTTCAAACAGAAAACACACCGAGTCTCGACCACCAAATCCCCCGCGTCGGCTCTTGGCGGAGAAAATGCTCGGCACTGTGGACCGTTTGCTGTGTTCTAGAACCTTCTAGACCCGCACTGCCCGCCGAGGGCATCCCTGCCCCAAGGCTCCTACGCCAGGTGCCTCCTGCGTCCCCGAATGTTGCACAGCTGCCTCTACTGCACCGTAGGACCTCCTCGTTCCCACCGTTGGCCTAGAGGGTCAACCCCATGGTCGCAAGGCCTTTCGCATTCCGGTCCCTTGTGTCGTCCACGTGCCGTGCCTCGGACCACCCCAGACACGGCGATATCCGTGGCGGTTGTCAATCCGAGGGCCGGCTGAGGAGCCCTGACCCCGACGTAGGTCCCGCCTGCCGATTCAGCGGCCGCCCGGCCCCGTGGCGGGCTTCCTTCCCTGCGACCAGGAATCTTGCCAAAGAGGGCGCCATATTGCATCGACACTCGTGAGACGCTCCCTTTTCCAAATCAGACAGAGACCGCCGACCGTCTCAGGACTCGCGGTCCTCTGGAAACGTCCCACTTAGCTGTGGGGTTGGGAGGGAAAGATCACCGCCCCCCAGCCCCGCTCCTGAAGTAGACAGCAGGAGCCTAAGCAGTGCAGATGGCTGGGGATGATGTAAACCACTCAGTGGTTTGCATGTGCCAAGACCCGTACTTACAACCACGTCCGCCTGGGGACAAACCTTCCATGACACCCAGTGATGGCCTTCTTTGCTCGTGTCAAACACCACTTTGTCCTGTGGTGTAGACGAGACAGACCCCACACGCTCCAACGTCTACGAGATCGTGAATCCTGACAATGGGCTTGCCTCCCCCTGAATGAGAGGAGCAGACATGGGGGGGGGGTGGAGCACAGAAGGTTCCAGAACAGGAAGCCCAGCACAGAGACCCTGGTTCCCCTGTGCTCCCCAGATGGACCCCGTTGGGCAAGTGTCCAGAGACCCAGAGCTGTAGAAACAGGAACACTGAGTGGCTGATAAACGGCACAGGGCCGGCTTCACACTGGACACGTCGGGGACGCTTCCTGTCCCGAGATAACAAGGCTGCTGCTCGTTGACGGGCAGGACACGGCTGACGTGCGTCCAGATGAATCATGCGAGGGTCTCCGGGCAGCACAGGCTCCTGACCAGGCCGTGTCTCCTTGTCCGTGCCCAGAGTCTGCCCTCGGGGACCCTGCTCGTCTGGTGTCATCGTCATTGCCTGTCACCCGGGCAGGACAGCGTCCCCCGAAAGTGCTGAGACGGCCCAAGACAGGTGCCGAGAGCTGAGGGGCCAGTAAGTGGACGTCGTCCCATCGGTGGGGGCGGGGGGCTGCTGTCGCAGGGCAGGGGGGGCTCAGGACGGGAGGGAAGGGCGGAGACGGCTGGGCACATGCCTGACCGAGGGCTGGTCTCTGATACAGACGGGTCTGAGACCGTGGTCCAGGTGGGGACCCAGGCTGCGGGGGTTGATGAGGTGACACCCGGGAAGGGTGTGACTGGGGAAGCAGACCACCGAGGCCACGTCCGGAGCAGGTGCACCCAGGCCGTGACTCACAGCCGCCGGCCATGGGCGAGCCCTCGGATCGTCCCCGAGGTGCACGGTGACCTCTGCGATCGTCCTGCCTCGGGGCTGGAGGCTCTGGACCAAGGCGCAGACGGGGTGGCTGAGGCCTGAGGCCAACCCTGGTTCCCATCGCAGAAGACGGGCCGATCGGCTGGGAAGGGGCCAGGCGTCATCAGTGGCCGGTGGCCAGAGAGCGGGCTTACCTTGCCGAAGCCTGGGGACGGGTCCTTGGAGCCCACAGGAAAGACAGGAAGCCAGAAACAAATGTAGGCATCGATAGAGGGAACCCCCCTCCTCGTGACGGGTTAATACTCTCAGAGTGAGAACGACCCTGGGGTCCTGGGGTCACGTGCTGAAGCACCTGCTCGCTGAAAAATGCACAGACGTTTCTCTTGTTTTCGTCCTCTCTTATTTTTTATCGTTATATGTTTTTAAATCTTTTAATGTGTATTTTGGAGAGACAGAGAGACAGAGGGCAAGTGGGGGAGGGGCAGAGAGAGAGGGAG